GAGGAGGAAACAACCCAGTAACGATCACATTTGTGGGGCGCATTCCCATCTTCCAACCGCGCACTTGGAGGCCTCGGATGTGCAGGGTCTCGCCAACAACGCGTGAAGGAATTTCGGGATGTGGCGCTACACGTGCACAGGGCGGAGTGAATTTTTGCAAATTAACTATCCGTTTGCAAACTGACGTGGTGTGTTTCTGCTGTTAATAATGCCCGCAAGCTGCATTCTAAACCGACAAAAACTAGCCTGATGCCCAGACTCGCGTCCAAAACTGGGACTGATAAAAGACGCCCTTGACAGGTTGGACAAATTTAAGCGCTCCCCCACCACGCAGTGTGGAGAGCACCGGAAGCGCACGCCAGCGGACTTTACCACTTGAGTGATATTCAGCGTAGAAGGTGGACATTTGTGTTCCGGACCTGCCTAAACCACCCGTTTAACATGACAAAATGGCAGGAGGCGTATGCCTTCTGGCAGAGGCCTTTCATGTTGAGTCCACCAGTACCAACTTCGAAGATGACTAATCTACAAATAAACAGGCGGCAGTGCGTGATCCTCTGGCATACTCCGATAAGAAGTATTCGAAAGTCCGCGTACTTGGGAGGGAGGGGAAAATGACGAACATGGTCAGAAGTTGTTGAGAGAACGAGGCCCTCTCTTTCCTCATGACATTCTATATTTCATCAAGGGGTCGGGTAGAGCTCTGTAGAGCTCAAAATAAGGTGAAAATCGTGTGAGCCACGAGTTACTCGAATCATGTTTTATGCGTCCCCGTTTTATAAACAAGTGTAATGTCCTGTCCAACCCATGTTCAGTGGTGAGGCTCGGTTTGGCCAAAGCGATTCACCACTCGGGGTAGCGCATAGGTGAACGCGTCTCCCAACACCAGCGATAGGTAGCCACATGGCCGAGCAATCATCACGCCCAAATTCACCACGTGTGATGGCAGTTCAGCAAGTTACGACCCACATGCCGGCCATGCAAGCGGGCAATTATCATCGATAAGGGAGCCGTTAATCGTCATAAGTGTGCAGTAGTACAGTGACTGTATCCTATCAAAACTGCAACTACCCGTGTGTCTGAATTACCCATTTCTGCTATTGTCTCTGATGATGGCTCCGCGACGGAATTCGAAACGTCAGGTGAGTAAAGCTCTTGCCCCAGCAATCACATTGCTTCTTCTCAAGGATGATATCTTCAGCGCAGATAAAGAATTTGCTAGGCAGGGGACGCTTGTATTCCCCGGACAAGGGAACAGGGGTCACCCATAGCTTTGCGTTCAAGGTCAGAGACAGTAGAATTCGGGCCACAGTTACGTGTTGGGGTTAGGTTATGGACGTGTAAATATGCACCCTTTGTGTAACCTGGCAGAAGGCCAATGGAAGGGGCGTCGTTCCTATCTCCGAGGCATGCCGGGAACGGGGAGGGCGTGCCATACAAGCAATTCCTCCGGGGTGGCTGCGCTGAGCATAAAAGACGACGCCGAATTGGGAGGCAAAAGCAAAATTGCATAGTTAATGACCTCGCCCGTTGGCGCGCACAACACGGACCACACCTGATTGACGGGGACTGGTGGGCAGGAGTCGGAGTGAAAAGAGAGGGGGAGCGGGGGAGGGTAGGGCGGCGGGAGGAGCATGGGTGGGCATACGCCCTGCCTACCTAATTTTGATGGATGAAGTGCGCGGAATCGCCCACCAGTTGCAAACTTTGCTAGCAGCCGATTGGTAAGTTGCGAAGCCACTGTTAAGGACAGGAGCTTAGACATTCAAACGAACGTAAGCCACTGCTCACCCTTTCAAGGTAATGCAGTCGACTGCCAGTGCCAAGGCGGAGTCGGAAAGACTGTACTAGAAACAAGAAAACCCGCAAGACTCGAACTCTGCTGATTTCTACGCACCATGCCTCTAAGCAACTCGTAGAGGAAAGAGAGCATGCGGATTTCAAACAACCTAAAACAGACTTTGGAGAGCAGGCATTAGCATAGAGTGGAACCTCAGTTAACAAGCTTAATCCGTTCCGGAACGGCACTGGTCTTGCGAAACGTAGCCAATAAAACGGTCTCAGTTGCCTGACTGACTGCAGGCGACCGAGGCGACCTACGCCCTAGGGGAGCAAGACTCAACGGCGGACACAGGCACACACACACGCATTGACGACTCTTTAACTAAGCGGAAGCTCGTCAACCGAAACAACTGTTCTGCTAGTGGTTCGTTCCTTACCTAAAATGCTCGTAGATGGGACTGCTTGTCACCCGAGGCTCCGCTGTATAAACGAAACGCGAGAAATAGGAATAAGCATGGGTAATGAGCTAGAAGTGCTCCTGACATAGACAACGGAATGGCCATTTCGGACTCAATAGCCGTAATCAGTCAGGCGGCACGCCCGAGGTCACTGAAAAGCAAAGGCCTACACCCGCGGACAGCATGACGGTCGTCAGTTTTCGCAGGCGAATGACTAATGGCTGCTGCATCAAGAGGTCAGGAACCACAAACACAGACACATACAATATTGAAGTCGGAAGTCAGAAGAAAACCGCTCATGGTAAATGAAAACGCTGTCTTCCCAGTTGGATCGGGGGACAACCAATGAAAATGGTCTGAAAGCA